GATGGGCCGGCCGCGCTCATCCCATGTAGGCACCAGCCCATCAATGTCACCAGAGGGCAGCTCATCCAGTTGCAGCGCAGCCAGGCCATCCGGGGCATCCCCGGCCACCACCACCAATGTCCCCTGTGTAGACAGGGTGGGTCACAGAGGGCCAAGGGGATCCAGGCTCAGAGGGGACCCAGACCCTGAGTGGATGGGAGATCTGCAGAGAGGTCGAAGGTGGGCACCCTGAGAGGAGAGGCCCCACCCAGCACTCCAGCCCCTCAGCCGAAGTATGAGTTCTCTGAGGGTGAAGACCTGCAGTGTCTCCCGTGAGGCCCAGGGGTATGTGAGGGGGATTGCTGGCTGGGAGAGAGGCAACCAGAGATTCCTCCCCTGTCCCTATATAAGACCGAGAACATGTTGCCAAGAGCACGCCATGTCCATGGGCAACTTGCTGGACGAACAGCTACATAGGCAAAGTCTGGTGGCCAATTCTGGGCTTCAGGACTTGTCACAGCCTTGTGTTATGTGCCCTCCAACTCTCTAAGCACAGTAGTACCGTGTGACATTTCCCAAACTCGCACAGAACACCTCAGGGATTGAGAATTCGCAGGACCCATGCAGAGAAAGGCTGGGTTAGAATTTTAAGGGCCTGGTGCCCAGCACAGAGGGAAGCGAGGGGAGCAGGCCTCTTCCAGCTGGTCTGGGCTGGCTGGAGCCCCCGAGGAGGACAGTGGGGGCCAGGCCCGCCCTCCCTATGGACAGCTGCTGCTCTGCACTGTGATGGCTGCCAAGGGGGCATGGAGCATCCCTGAGTTCAGTGGTCAGGGTGAGGGGCTTGGGCGGCTGTGACTCTGGGATGACAGAGGAGGGTCCCCATGTTTTCTATGATGGGGTGGCAGCTGTTGTTGCCCTGAAATTCCCATCTCCTCAGAACTCAGGGTGTCCATGAAAGCCAGTCAGAGTGACTCAGGCAGCAAGGAAGGGCCTGGAAGCATCGGAGGGGCTTCCCTGGGCCCACCTCAGAGGATAGGCTGACTGGGCTTTGGGGGTTGGCTGGAGGCCTTAGGAGACAGGGACTTGGGGGTGGGGGACGCACCGTGGGGGTGGCCGTGGTGCTGGTGGTGATCCTCGGGGGTGTGGTGCAGGTCATTTGCTCCCTTGGGATGGGCTGGTCAGGCCAGACTGGGCTGAGAGATGCGGCTGCTGAGAAGAGGGGGAGCTGGAGTCAGAAGGGCTCCCACAAAGGGCAGAGGTGGGGAGTAGAGACACACAGCCTCAGAGACCCTGGGCCCGGGGATGGGACTGGTTCCCCTGAAGAAGCACCTGACTGGGAGCTGACCCCAGCCAACTCTGCCTCAGAATGCCCTGGGGACTTTTTCTCTGGGGTGTCAGTGGCGCCCGTCACAAGCCTGGCCGACTGGAGAGCCAGCAAGGAACCCTCTCAGACCATGCCAAGGAGCTGGGAAGGGCACAAGGTCCAGAGGTCAAGGACCTAACATGGTCCTGTCAGGCTCCAAAGTTTATCCTCTTATTGCCCCAATGTCCCTGCTCCCTGAAAGCACACACCCCAGTGTCACAACCCTGAGTAAGGAACAAATCTGCATCCCAGCCAGGCAGACACACATAGACGCTGACACAGACAGAGAACAAACAGACACAGGACATACAGACAGATACACAGACACAGAACACAAAACATGCAGACACACACAGACAGAAACAGAACACACATAGAAAAAAATACACAGAGACACAGTGACATAAGCAGACACACAAAGAGAGACACACAGACACTGACACACCCACAGAGACACAAAGATACATCTAGAGCCACACACACAGACACATACAGACACACACTCCCACATGCAATTACATGGCCACAACATGTCCCTTGGACCAACACTCTCCCTTACTGCCTATGGCACCTGCTGATATTTTTTGTGCTATTCCATTCTGTTTTAATAAATGCTGATCCCAGTCCCTTAACGGGGGTGACCTACAGCTTGAGGACTATTTCCCCTGTCCCGCTAGCCTGTGTGTTTGGCCTGCTAGGGTCTCAGAGGATAGCAGCCCATCCGGAAGGGTCCTGCCTCCCCCCCAACCCCAAGTCTACTTCTGGACAAATTACGGTGACTACAATGTCCCGTGTAGAAATGTGAGTCCTCATCTTCACAAAGCAACAAGGACAGTAAAGGAAACTTGGAAGAGGCTGGGGAGGAAGGATGATGGGGGAGGCCCGGGTGCCCAGCTATCTGGGGTCAGAAACTTCCCCACCCCCTTCGGAACCTCAGAGGTGAGGCCGGTGGCACCCAGTTCCAGCCCCATGCCTAGGCCAGGCAGGCCTGGAGATGTGCACTCACAGGCGGGGCTCCTGAGACCTGCACCCCCTCTTCCTTCATCTTGCAGAGAGCACCGTGCAGCTGACAGTGGAGGTGGGGGAAACGGTGGTGGTGGGGGTGTCATCAGGAGCGGCACCTGGGGGTGGACGGGTCTGGTCAGTGGGAGGCCCTTCCCAGCTCTTCCAGGCAGGGGTGGAGCACTCAGCAGGCGAGCCCTGGGGGGATTGTGCACCTCAGAAGGGCCTGGACAGGGCCTTGAGGTCCTGTCCTTGCGTCGACCCACCCCTGGGCCCAACAAACACTCTGAGCCCTTGTCTCAGTGCCGTCACTTCCGTACCCTCCACCTTGGTCCCCCCACCATTTCTACTGGATGACACCCATCCCCCATCTCAAGGTTCAGTGTACAGGCTCCCCTGGAGGCAGCTAAACTTGGGCTCCGGGCGCTGGGTTAGGGCCGGTGTCCAGCTCACTCACCTCTCCGATCCCACAAAGACATGTGCATGGGCACACACACACACATTTACACACACACATGCACACGTACACTCTCTGCATCCCCCTCCCTGATTGCCCTGACTTCTGTGCTGAGACCTGCCTAGAAGTCCTGCCCTGACATAGGGCCTGCCGGTGTTTTGGGGTGGATGGCCCCATGAGAGGCCTGATGAGGAGAGGGGAGGCAGTGGACTCAGAGTAGGGTCCCCGAAATACTCATCAGCCGAAGGCACAGGGTCATCCTATTTTCAGGTGAAGACCCCAATACTCAGCACAGGCCACACAGCAGCAGGGCAGAGCCTGACCCTGACCTCCAGCTCCTGGTCCAAGAGTAGGGCTTGTAGGGGAGTCAAGGTTGTCCCCACTCCGCCCCCAAACCTCCTGGGCATTAGGTGGACCTATCTTCCCCCACCAAAAGGACAGCAGATTCCTGGCCCCTGGACATGGAGGAAGCCCCAGGGAAGTTGGAAGTCTTCTCAGGAACTCAAAGCAGGCACTGTGGGGTTACAACTACACCTCAGAACAGAGGCGCTGAGCCCAGGACCTGCCAGTGTCCAGGCCAGGAAGAACAGAACTGGCACCTCACTGCAGGTCACCCTTCCCAGAGCCTCCTGGAAACAAGGCCCACCTAGAACAGCCACAGGAAGCCAGGGATGCGGGGGCACCCATATCCTAGCCCTGCCCCATTTTGGAGGCAAGGCACACACCTGGCCTTGGTCACCTCCCCTGCTCATAAGCACTGACCACGGGCAATCAGAAAGAGTACTTGACCTTGAGGGGGCACTCAGCTCTGCCCCACTGTGCCTCAGCCTAGGCATCTGACCCACGGAACCCAAGACTTCTGTCTCAACCACTACATGGCTGTGGAGGAGAGATGCAGGACTCCTGGGGAACCCTAATCTGTAGGTGTTGTCAGCAGTGGGACTGAATGTGTCTTCTGCCTCCTCCATGCCCCTCCTCGGGCAGCAGAGAGATGCTGTAGTGGGTCACTTGGGCTGTCCTCCCAGGACCCTGGAGCAGGACTTGCTGCTTTTTGTTTAAAGCTGAGCATTCAAGGCTGGTTTGACCCTGACTCCCTGGTGGCAGTGCCTGGGCTCCCAGGCATACCAACCTCATCTTGGTGCCCGTCTGGCACATGGCCACCCCAGCTTGTGTCCCCAACCAGCAAGGCTGCGCACTACATTCCTGCTGAGCACCCCACCCTGCTGCCTGTTGGACCAAAGTTCCTGCCCCCACCTCCAGTGGCATCAGAAGCCAGACCTGGCCATCAGGGCTACCAGCTTGACTGGTGAGAGCCCTGAGCAGAACAGAGGACCTGGCTCAAATAAGCCTTGAATCCAGACATGTGGCCTGGGCCCAGGGCTGGCGTCATGAGTATGGAAAGGTCCCATGCTGCAGCTTTCTCGAGAGCTCTGCTGTCTCTACCTTCGAAGTCTTAACGACTTCTGTACACGAGGCCCCCATTTTCATTCTGCACTGAGGCTGTGTGTAATGGAGCCCATCTTGCCAGAGGCAATCCTTGGCCTCCCCGAGCCTCCCATCACTTATGGCTAAGGGGCTGTGTGTCCCCTCAGTCGCGTGCTATCTAGGACCCTCAGTCCCCTGGGAACGCAGCCTGAAACCCCATCTCCCCAGTCCCCATGCACCTTACTCCTTCCAGGAATTTGTGTCCACAGTCCAGGAACCCTGGTGCACAACAGGTTGGGCCACGTCCACCCGGTCCCCAGCCCCGGAAGACCTCGGAGGCAGGTTGCAGAGCACAGGGAGCTGTGGAGTCCTGGGCTGTCGGGGGCTGTTGAAGCTGCCGCCCCCAGGAGCGGGAGGTGTCACATGAATATTTGAAGGCCGAGGTGTCAGGTGGCCAGGCGGACTTGTCTGGGTGCAGGATCCCTTACCACAATACCTTTAACCCTCCATAGTGCAGGGGCCGGGGAGTGGGCCTTCCAGGGAGAGGGAGGGAGACCTGAGATCCCTGGGCCATGTGAGAAGAGAGACCACCCAGAGGTATCCCCATGCTCACCCATGGTACAGCTCCGAGGGTACAGATGGGGAAATCGAGGCCCAGAGAGGGCAAGGGGCTTTTTCAAGGTCCCACAGCTGGAATGTAGCAGATCTGGGATCAGAATCTCACTAGAGACCTCAGTCTGTGCTGCTGCCAGGACCAAGAGCCCTATGAATGCTACTCCCTTGGTCCGGGGAACTGCAGAGGCCGCCTTCTGGAGCCCAGCCTCTGAGGTGGGATGGTGCCTTCTGGGCCTCTTGCCCTACAAGGAGTGTGAAGCCTGGCTGCTTGTTACTAGCCTTCTCTGAGGGCCAAGGAGCAGGCCTGCTTCCTGCATGGAGCACGGGTGCCCCGGGCTCAGTGGTCCTTGGCTGAGACACAAACCTAGTGTGGGCACAGCAGCCATGTGGACCCAAATTATACTCCCTGGGACTTGAGGGAAAAGGGAACCCTACAAGACATGTGCTCCCTGTGGTGCTGTAAGAAAGTCCTCTGCCTTGGACCCACGAACCTTGTGTCTTCTTCCATGTTAAGACATGGTGATAGGCGGACTCAGCAGCTTTAGCCGGGTGGAGTCAAACCCCAAACCAGACAGGCATGGCCAGAGCAGCTGGACACAAGCCGTCCTACAGACAGGAGAGCTGAGTCCCAGGGTGGGACTGACAGCAGGGCCACCCCAGTGGCCCTGTGCCCTGCCCAGCCAAGACAGAAGTGTGAGCCTAATGGTACCACTTCCCTTCCTCCCCACCCCTGCTTGGGAGTCCTCAGTCCCCTCTCAATCGAATCTGCTGTCAATGGGGCAGGAAGCCCCTTCCCCACTCAGGTAGAGCGAGGGGCACTTCTGGGGTGGCAGTGTCACGCCCCTCATGCTCAGGAGGACAGGAGAGGCAGGAATTTATTATTTATTTAATTAACTTATTTTATTTTTTGAGTTGGAGTCTCACTCTCTTGCCCAGGCTGGAGTGCAGGGGCATGCTCATGGCCACCACAGCCTCGACCTTCTGGGCTCAGGCAATCCTTCCGCCTCAGCCTTCCAATTAGCTGGAACTATAGGCATGCGCCACCACACCTGGCTCATTTTTTAATTTTAATTTTTTGGTTTTTATTATAGAGACAAGGTCTTGCCACGTTGCCCAGGCTGGTCTCGAACCCCTGGGCTCAGACAATCCTCTTGTCTCCACCTCCTAAAATGCTGGGATTACAGGCGTAAGCCACCGTGCCCAGCTAGAGAGGTAGGAATTTAGTCTGGGGCTCAGGGGAATGGACTCTGATCCCAGCACAGCACCTGTGGCCTGGGGGACCTTGTGCCATCCCTCCCAGCCCCTGGGGCCCCGGTCTGCTCCACTCCTCACGAGCAAGAAGCCATGGCTCGTCACCCCTTAGCCTCAGTTTCCTCGCCTGTAAGTCGGAGTTGTTGGGAAGATGTGGGACTACGGAGAGCACTCAGAAGGGGCCTGCGTTTGGGCAGGACTCAGACCTTGCTGCTACTTTCACCACTGGCATCAGGACGGCCTCTGTGGGTTTTAACAGGGACAAGTCCGGCTGTGGTGTTTCCCAGGCGATGGGGAGTATCCACATCCCAGCCTCCCATAGTAGGCCCCGAAGCTAAGGGGATCTGTAAGGATCGAAGGAGCTGCAGATATCGGGGTCCCATCCTGTGGGGTCCTGACAGTTGGGCGTGTGCTGCCCCCAGTCCCAGTACCAGACAACTGCCCTGCAGTAGGTGGTTGTGCTGGTCCCACAGCCATACCTTTCCCTGCGTTTTTGGTGAGATTTGAGCATCGTTGAGCCTGCCATGCATTATACATTGAGGGCAGCAGTGGCGAGCCAGGTTACAGGCCTGTAATGCCACCCGGGCCAAGAAAATCATGACCTACAGATGGTGCTGGACACCAGTCGCCACAGCTGAGATTCAATTACTGGCCAGGCATCTAGGCCCCACCCCTCACCAGGGGAGGAGATTGTTCCTTGCCCTCTCTGGGCCTCAGTTTCCCCATTTATAAAATAATGAGTCTTAGGGCCCTCCTGGGCCTGGGAGAGGAGAATTAGCCAGTCCCAAGGGCCCACCATGGGCAGGTACCCTGCTAGGGGTTTTTCAAAACAAAGCTCTTCAACCCATTTTAATGGATGCAGAAATTGGGACTTAGATGCTCAGAATCTGCCAGCACCGCGTGCCTAGGAAGAGCAGTGCCTACCCTGGCAAGTGAAGGGGTGGGGGAGCACAACAGCCCGAGATGCCATGGAGATGTCAGGGGCTCAGCTCCCCATGCCCAGAGGGCTCCACTAACCTATCCCTGCCCGGGCAGAGCCCCACACAGAACCCCACACCAGGATTCCAGCTGCTCAGCTAGCAGAGGGACGGGACCCGCCTCAATGTCCCCTCTAATCCCTGCCCCATCCAGTTTTCAAGGTCCAAGTCCTCATTGGTCAGAGGGGGTACCTGAGGCCTGGGGGTGGGCAGGGCCTGGCCTTCCGGAACACTCATACAGGCTCATACCAGGCAGTGCATGTACTCAGGTCCTGCAGACCCGACACAATGGCAGGTCTCAGCACTAACTGTCCACCCTCATTCCCCCAAGCTGCCTCTCTTGGGATCCACAAGTCCCCTGGGGACAGACTGCAGTGTCAAAGGGAAAATGATGGATTTCACCACCTCTGCTGAGGCCAGCCTGGGAAGAGGCCGGCACAGGCGACCTCTGCATATTGCGTTTCCATCAATATTGCATCAGGTGTAGCCTCCCCCAGCTCGGCCTGCAGCTGCCAGCCCGCCCTCCCGCTGAGAATGCGAGGCAGGTGTCCTGGAGTGGGGACAACTGCAGCCCAGGGCGAGAGACTAGCACCCTCTGCTGTCGCCCGGTCTCCCTGAGCGAGAAGACACAGAGACAGGCTCCAGTCCCAACCCTGAGTTCCCAAACGGGCTCCTGAAATGATGGGGGTGTCCACATCCCAGCCTCCCACAGCCAAGAGGATCTGCAAGGTTGGAAGGAGTAGCAGATGTTGGGGTCCTGTCCTGTGGGACCCTGATAGTTGGGTGTGTGCGGCCCCCAGTCCCAGCACCAGACAGTTGCCCCGCAGTGGCTACACACAGAGGAGCTGTGAAGGCTGAGGGTCTGGGTTTGCATGAGCTGGGCGAGGGTGGTCAGACACAGCAGGAAGGGGCTGTGGTTGGGAAGGAGGTGGTCGAGCCTGACACGACCCGTCTTCCTCCACCACAGGGTCTGGAGATGGAAGGCAGAGGGTGGTCCTAATGGACAGAAAGCCCGGTCATGGCTGGGAACAAGGTCAGGAACCCTGGGGAGGCCACGTGCAATCTGTTCCTTGCTTGTGCAGAGCCAGGGGAGACCCAGGCTTGGGGTGCTCCTGAGCACTGGAGCAGAAACCAGTGAGATCCTCTTGACTTCTCAAACCCCCACCAGGAAGACAACCTTCACTACACAGTAACCAAGAGAGCGGGTCATAGGCAATAATTTAGTAAATAAACTTTTTCTAGCAGTCACTGAATTGTAGCTCCTGAAACAACCCCCCAGGGCAAAACCAGAGAACCACCACACTCCCCAGCATCCACTCGAGCTGCACCCACATCATGGCAGGCTTGGCGTGGGTTTCAGTCGGTGGCAACAAGAGGCTCCCAGGGGTGGCAGCGTGACAACCGAACAGCAGCCCCAGGGCCAGGGAGGGCAACGACGGACGCCGTGAGGGGATGCCCCAAAGGAAGAGGAGGTGCAGCAGCCCCAGGTGAGACTCAGGATGAGGAGTACGTCCCCTCTGCACCTCAGTGCCCTCACCCAAAAATGGGGGCCCAGAGGATCCCAGGGCCCCTTCCTGAATGGCTGGCCATTAAATAACAGTGGTAAAAACAGAGGCAGGTTGGGATTGATTTATCACAGTAACTCCCCTTGGCATGGAGCTGGGGCCTCTGCTGACGCTGCAGTGCCCTCTACCCACCCCAACAGTCCATTCCCTCCTTGTTCCTTCATCCTCCATCCTCCCTCCTTTCCTGCCTCTCTGCATTCCCTCCTTTGTCCTCCCTCCTCATCTTCCCTCCTCCATCCATTACCTTCCTCTGTCCATTCCCTCCTCCGTCCTCTGTCCTCCCACCTTCATCCTCTGTCCTCCCTCCTCCGTCTTCTCTCCATCCTCCCTCCTTCATCCACTCCCAGCTCTTTCCTCTCTCCTCCTCCATTCCTGCCTCTCTGCAATCCCTCCTTTGTCCTCCCTCCTCCATCCATTACCTTCCTCTGTCTATTCTCACCTCCCTCCTCTGTCCTCCCTCCTCCATCCATTACCTTCCTCTGTCTATTCTCACCTCCCTCCTCTGTCCTCCCATCTCCATCCTCCCTCCTCTGTCCTCCCTCCCCATCCACCTCTCCCCCATCCATCCCTCCTCTATTCACCCTCATCCATCCATCTGCTCATCCTTACATTGTCTTGGCCTCCATCTGTTCATTCAATGAAGACTGTTGAGCCCTGTTACATGCTGGGGGCTGGGGACCAGCGGGACAGTAAGAGCCCTGCCCTTAGGGATGGGGGGATGAGAATGCGAGATCACACGCAGAGAGGGAAGAGCAGACAGGGACTAGAGCCTGCTGTCCTCTACTTGTGACAGGGATGCCAGCTTCATGGACCTTGGCCTTGCTCCCAACCTGGGGACCTTAGCCTAACATGCATCAACCAAGAGGTGATGCTGTCATGGAAGCTCACGAGGCACAGGTGTGACACAGGTGAATGGCGTGGCTTGGCTGAGTTCCAGCCACAAGTCCATCCCAGGTCCTGGCCATAGCCTCGTCCCCAGTCCCTGTCACAGTTCCTCTATCATGGTCCTTGTGACAGTCCTAGTCCCTGTCATAGCCCCTGTTACAGCTCCAGCTCTTGTCACATGACCTCTGTCATGGTCCCTGTCACTGCCCCGGCTCCTACCATGACCCTATAACAACTCCTGACACAGACACTTTCACAGTCCCTGTCATAACCCCAACCTCTGTCACAGCTACCATTATGGTACATGTTACAACCATTTGTCACAGCTCTGGCATCTGTCATAAGTCGTCTGTCATGGTACCAGTCATAGCCACAGACCCTGTCATGGCCCCTGTCACAAACCTAGCTCCAGTTGTGGCTACAGTAATGGCTCTTGTTGTAGCATCAACTCTTGTCATGGCCCTGTCATAGTCTCTGGCATGGCCCTTGCCAAAGCCCCGACTCCTGTCACCACCCAGGATCCTGTCGCAGCACCTGGCATAGCCCCATCACAGTCTGTCACGGTCCCGACCCATCACAGTTCCTATCACAGGCTCAGCCCATGTTGCATCCCCTGTAACAGCCGTTGTCACAGCTCTGGCCCTGTCACAGTTCCTGTCACAGTCAAGGCCTTCTGTCACAGCCCATCACAGCCCCTGTCACAGCAACAACTCTTATCACAGTAATGGCTCCTGTCATGGCTCCTGTCACAGCCTCTATCATAGCCTCAATCCCTGCCACAGCCTCTGTCACAGTCCCTGCTAAATCCCCAATGTCATCGTCCCAGCCCCATCCTAGACCCTGTCACAGCCCCTATCACAGGCTCAGCCCCTGTCACAGTCCCAGCCCCAGCCATAGCTCCAGCCCCTGTCACAGTCTGTATCATAGCCACAGCCCCAGCCCCTGTCCTGGCCCCACACTTCTATTACGGCCTGGTCCCAGTGGCGGCCGGCTTACTTGTGGGGCCTCAGTCCTGCCCAAGCCCTTGCTGCATGGTGTCTGAGGTGCAGAGGTGAACTTCCTAGCTGACTATGCTGCATGCTTGGCAGTGAGGCCCTGGCTAGAGCCCACACCCCCATGCCTCCAGGACAAAGACCCTAAGACTTACCGGCCGGGCCATCTCCCGCAGGTACTGGGCACAGTCCTGGTGCCCATGGTACTCTGCCAGGTCTGATGCTGTGTAACCATCTTCATCCCGCAGGGAGGGGTCCACATGGTGGGAAACCAGGGTCTGGCAGCACTGCAGGGAGGAGAGCACACACATGACCTGCCATGACACTCACTAGGCACCAATGGGACCAGCTCTGTGTAGGCGGCTCTGCCAACCCCATTGCACAGACTGCCCCGGCACCCTTCCCAGCAAGAGCATGACTTGAATTGAGACTGTGGGTTCTAGAAATCTGCCCAGCAGCACCCAAGTCTCATCCTTTTTTTTTTTTTTGAAGTTGGAGTCTCTGTTGCCCAGGCTGGAGTGCAGTGGCACACTCACAGCCACTGCAACCTTGACCTGCTGGGCTCAGGCAATCCTTCTGCCTCAGCCTTCCAAGTGGCTGGAACTACAGGCATGCACCTGGCTAATTTTTTGATTTATTGTAGAGATGAGGTCTCGCCAAATTGCCCAGGCTTGTCTCAAACCTGTGGGCTTAGCCAATCCTCTCACCTCAGCCACCCAAAGAGCTGAGATTATAGGAGAGAGCCACAGCGCCCAACCCTGAGCCTCATCTTATGGCCATCCTGTCCTGACACCAATTGTACCAAGCACCATGGGTGATACCAGTACTTAGGGAACAGGCACCAGGACATCCCTGTCCCAGACCTCTCAAAGCTACTGGGCTTTACATGCAGAACCAGTTTCCATTTTTACGATACTTGAGGTGTGTATCAATGCGTGTGAGGAACCTGGGACTTTGGAGCTAAGCAACCTGCCCTTCAGTCCCCAGGACTCAGGGTCTTTGCTCTCACCACCTCCCCCACAGCCGGGCTCCCTCTCGGGCTGGGACCAGCACTATCATAGGGTCTTCATCTTGGCTCCAGGCCCAAGCAGGCCTCTTGAGGTTTTCATCCTGGCTCTCTGAGCACTAGCTCAGGCCTGAACGCAGGCCACTCACCACCTTTGCCAGTCACACTGCTGCTCCTTAACTGGCAACCTGGGGGCCTGGGCCCTCCTGCTTCCTGCTCTAGTGATGGGAATTGGGAGGAAAGGGGGAAGAGAAGAAGGCCTGGGGAGGGGAGGTTCATGGAAGGCTGGAGGAAATTTGCATCTGTGAAGGTTTCAGATGGGAGCGGAAGGGAGAACTTCAAGAAATATTTCTGTAATTTCTTGTGTGCATATTTGTTCTGTACAACTTTGCATCTCCTTTGTGGTACTCAGGAAACACAAAAACTTGAGTTAGTGGAATATTTTCCTTCACTTAATTGTGAGCCTTTGACTCCTCCCTGCTCTGAGAAGGACCCTCTGAACCTCACCACCTTTGGGTAACACTGAATTGAACTACAAAGTGAGAGAAATCTCATAGGACATTTCTTCTCTCTGGACCACAGGTCTTCACCTATAAATGATGCAACTAGAGTCCAATCTCACAGAGATGGTCAAATACAAGTTCAGTGAGAATGCAGTGCGGTGGGTGTGTCACACTGTGAATAAACATGTACTGATGCTAGAGGGTGTGGCGGGGGGTGTGGCTCAGCATTGAGGACCAACAGAACTCTATTTCATCCTTTCTCTATGACTTGCTGCCTGTGAGCTTTTGCAGATAGTTGGACCTGTCTGTAGGGACAACAGCGCTGACCTATAACAGACAGACTCCACCAGTCTCCCTAGTCTCCTCTCCTCTAATGACACCCCAGTTGTCCAGCTAGCAAGTCAGATCACTCCACCTCAGGGGTGAAAGTTTCAATGGGGGGGCATGGGATCAGTTGGTCTCAAGAGGGCTTCCCTTCCCCACCTTCCTCTTGCCCTGAGTGCTGCAACTACCTTGGAACCAGGGCACACTACAAGAGGGTGGGCAAAAAGGCAGAAAAAGCCTGGGCCCCTGGTGCTCCACAGATCCTCAAGACCAATGCCAGAATCCTGGGTCTCCACACTTGTCAGTGACTCCTGCACCTTTAAGACATGGAGTCAGGTTTCTGTCCCAGCTTGCTGGCTGCATTCCTCAACGCCAGACTGAGAGTGACTATCCTGCAAGTGACCATCTCAGGCTGGCTGATCTCACATCTTTGACACGACTACTTGACCCTAGTTATGGTGTGGCAGCAGCCCCAGATGACAGGCACTTGTGGGCATTGCTGGGCATCCACAGGGCTTTATTTATGGACACTGACATTTTAACTTCATATACGTTTCATGGGTCGTAAGTTTCTTTGTTTTTTGTTTGTTTGCTTTTTGGTGTGTTTTTTCCCCAGCCATTTGAAAAGGGGAGAACTATTTTTAGCTTGTGGGACCATACAAAACCAGGCATGGGCCAGGATTTGCCAGCAGGCTGGGTGTGTGCTTTTCCTGGCCTAGAGGGCTGCTGGGAGGCAGGAACACGACTGAGCCCTGAGGGCTCCTGGAAGCAAGTGCTGAGGGCTGAGCCAAGGGCTGGTTTGACCCAGGAATCAGGAACCATTTGTTAGATATGCACAGAGGCTAGGGCTGGGGGAGGCTGGGAAAGGTCACTGAGGCCAGCCCCTGGGAGAAGGCACCACTCCCGGGAGGCTCTGGAGGAGGAAAAGGAGGGAGGGGAGGAGGGGAGAAAGGAGAGAGGGGAAAGGGGAGGGAAGCTCTAGGCTGGGTGAGCAGAAAAAGCTTCCTGGGATGCAATGGGGTCCCTGGAGAGAAGAGACTGGGATGGGGGGAGGGGAGTTATGGGGTCTGCTGATGCATGGGTGGGACGGTCACAGCAGAAGCAGGTGGAGGAAGGGGAATGAAGTATCAGGCCTTGCCCAGAGGATGCTAGGGAGAGAGGGCACAGCTCCACCTGGGACAGCAGTCATGGGGAGGAGGAAGAGAATTTTCATACAGAACAACAGACCCCGTTGCTGCCAGGGTTTGTGAGCAGAAGGTGGGTGGTAACAGTTACCTGAGTCTGAGATCTGTGAGGCGGCCATATCGGCAGAAAACCAGATGAGCAGATGGAGCCACTTAGAGAGGAGAGAACCAGGTGGGTCAAACCAACCCGCTCCCCAAGGAGAATGTGAAACACGGGCTAACTATAAAAGTTACATTTCTAAAGCATCAAAGAGATAGCAAAGAAGTGAGAACAGACCAGGCTCAATGCAGGAAAAAGGGAAAGTCGGGTGGGGTGCGTGGTGAGCCCAACACGCAGAACTGCTCTTGCTCTAAGAAGTTGCTGACGCAGGAGGAGCAGTTGTGCAACTGAGCTAGTCTTTCCGCAGCCCCAGGGACAGCAGAGGAAAGGAACTGTGTGGGGTCCACCAAAGTTGGGGATGTTGATTAACCATCTCCACTATAGGCTAAAGGCTCCACCCTCAGAGAAAATAGAAACCAGAGGCCAGCCAGCCCTCGGCTCCTGTCATCAAGGTGGTCCAGGCAACTTCTAGCCCAGAACATAGATTGAGATGATCCTGGGCTTGTAATTCCCATGTGTGTCTGGCAGAGGCAAATAAGATATCATTCTCTCTTAGGTCTCCAATTACTTCCATAAATCATTTTTCAGGGCATGGCGACTCACACCTGTAATCCCAGAACTTTGGGAGGCCAAGGCGGGAGGATTGCTTGAGCTCAAGAGTTCGAGACCAGCCTGGGAAAAATAGCAAGAACTTCTCTCTACAAAAATAAAAAAATAAAAATAAAAACTAGCCAGGTGTGGTGGTATGCACCTGTAGTCCCCACTACTAAGGAGAGGAGGTGAAACCAGGAGGTTGAGGCTGCAGTGAGCTAGAATCATGTCACTGCATTCCAACCTGGGCAACAGAGTGAGACCCTGACTCAAAATTTCAAAAGAAGAAGATGAAGAAGCCCAACCAACATAAAGAGCTATCTGTCTTGGTCATATCATAGTGAAAATGCAAAAAAATCAAATCAAGAGCAAAAGAAGAGAACTTCAGAAGAGTAACCTCCCAACAGCTGGATTCTTACAGCAACAATAGAATCCAGAAGGCAATAAATGATACTTTCAAAACACCAAAAGAGAATGATTGGAAATCACCAAGCTATAATTTTATACCCAGCAAAAACACTCTTCAATACTGAAAATGAAATAAAAGTATTTCCAGGAAAACAAAAAAAACAAAATAGAATTTGCCAGCAGCATACCCATGCTAAGGGGAAAAAAATCCAAATATTTACTTCAGGATATACTTTTTATAGAGTAGCTCAGCTAATTCTGTTCACACAGACAGTTTTCAAAATTGACTGTGCTTGAGAATCACCCCGGGAGTTTGAAGAAGTCCTGATACTCAGGCTGCACACCCAGGACCAATTAAACTAGAATCTCGGGGGGAGGGGTGCAACCAGGCATTGGAATATATTAAACCTCCCCAGGAAGAGCCACGTTTGAGAACCACTGCTACAATCCTACACACCACTCATATATTTCATTAAACCTGACCTCTGCCGGTTCCAGCTGTCAATGTTTTCATGCCTGGACTTATTTTCTCAATCCCCAGTAAGACAGGAAGTATTCTATACTTCACAACCTTTAAGGGCAGACAAATCCCCGGGGATCTTGTACAAATGCAAATTCTGATTAGCAGGTCTTTGGTGGGGTCTGAGACTCTGCATTCCTGAAAAGCTGCTAGTGTCCCCGGATACATTTCCAAGTGTGACCATGTATGGTTAATACTCCTATCTGGGATATCTAACATAAATTACTCTGAAGCTACAAATTTCAGAAAAGGAAGAAGGGAAAACCCATTATTTAGGTGGTTCTCAGAGATGCTTTGAGTTGTTCCTAGGGTATGTGGACCTTGATCAACTATTTTTTACAGGGCCCCTGTCTAAATAAATGATTTGATTAAAAATATATTATAGCAATCGGGCTGAGTGCAGTGGCTCATGCCTGTAATCCCAGCACCTTGGGAGACTAAGGCAGATAGATTGCTTGAGCTCAGGAGTTTGAGACCAGAAAAATTAGCCAGGCATGGTGGCATGCACATAGTCCCAGCTACTTGCGAGGCTAAAATGGAAGGATCGCCTGAGCTCAGGAGGTTGAGGCTATGATGAGCCGTGATTGCCACACTGTACTTCAGCCTGGGTGACAGAGTGAGAACCCAACATTATATATATATAAAATCAAA